CCCCCCCCCACTATTTGAAAGTGAGAGCAGGTTGGAAGGCCCAGAATGAATTGCAATGAAAATCAGGTCTACACAAGTTTCACAGTGGCAGTGAGATTACATGGGGTGTGTATCCAGTGATCTGTGGGTTTTAACAGAGCAGAATGTTCCTGCTTCCCTTCTTGCTGAAGCTACTGAGCCCCCTGAAGATTGGTTCCTGAGAGCCAGCTGACCACCAGGAGTAGCGTGGGGGGCTGCTCTGGGAGGAGGGGAAATCAGAAATTGCAGCCCTCTTTTCTGCCAGTAAGGTGGCTGTCTTGTTGGAGGAACTGCACGGTTGGATGATACATGTTACTACAAAAAAATTAAGAACATAGAAATAAGTGGCATATCTTCTACCAAGATGAGAAACCCAAAGGAGAGCCACATAGGAACTAACTTGGGTGTTTAGAGGCTGACCATTATGTTGTAATGTGTGTAACTAACAAAAGCCAGTGATAGCAGCATAATTTGTAAACAATGGGAATGTTTAGGTAATTTGGGTACCAGTGATGTGACTTCTTTTATTTCCCAGATATTAGTCTGGGAAAGACCTGTTTCCCAAGGTCTTTTAACTTTTTTTTAGCACTATAAAAACTTGAGTGAAAATAATTCCTTTGTATACTCATACATAGAAAAGAACAGTCAGATTGAAGATGCATTTCTGCACCTAGAGGGTGCTCCCATTTTCCTAGGAGGAGTATATGGGGCCCTTTTTTGCGGGATATTGCTCCTTGAATGTACATGAACATACATGAGGCCACGTTCTATGGATTTAGACCACTGATCCATCAAGGGGAGTATTGTCTGCTGTTTTGTTCTGCACATCACCTACTGCCAGATCCTTTTAACTGTGCTGCAGTTTAACTTTTAACTGGAGATGCTGGGGACTGAACCTGGGGCCTTCTGCGTGCCAAGCAGATGTTCTACCATTGAGCCATGGTCCCTCCCCATGCCTTCCTCTGACCTTTAAGATGTGTGCTTAGATAGCGTAGGGTGCAGCACTTTGCAGCTATATATTTGTGGTTTTGCTTGTAGAAAACTAAGGCATTCTTTTAAATTTCAAATAGTACATTTTTATGTGCATTTACAAAGAAAGATTTTACCTTAAATTAGTAAAATGCTTAATTTTGATAGGATCACATCTCTCTCAGTCCCGTCCCCCCCGCACGTCAAAATTCTCAATGTTTGCTATTTTAATGAATGGTCAACAGCTGCTCCTTCTGTCCTGTCCTACGAGGGTGTTCACAGAGGATCATGTAGAAGAGGGCTCATGACTCCAGTTTGGAATCTTTCCACACTGTTTTAAGAAATCTCATTCTGTTTTAACCTGGGGCCAGTTCACAGCAGTGCAAAGCAGTTACTGTTTACATATCATGTAGCAGTTAGTATCAAATGGTGGAGGACACATAATGCATTATCCTAACACATGCAGAGTTACTAGTTTGAGTGTATGCTGGCTGTTAGTCATTCTTTTGCCTGAGACTTATCAAAAGGGATGTATAAGGGGGGGAAACAACCACCTAGAATGAAAGGGAGCCCCAGACATTGGGGGGGGGGGTAGGGTTGGGATACGTGTTCTCTTGCATGCTTGGGGCTCTATGGAGTGGGAACTTGCATGCCTAACCTAGTTTCTTTTTCTTCCTCCTTAGCAATGGCACCAGCATGATATCACTGATCATTCCCCCCAAAGACCAGATTTCACGAGTGGCAAAAATGTTAGCCGATGAGTTTGGTACAGCATCCAATATTAAGTCTCGAGTGAATCGCCTTTCGGTCCTTGGGGCCATTACATCTGTACAGCAACGACTAAAACTTTATAACAAAGGTAAAGGTTCCGCTGCTTACACTTTGTGTAATTTGACGCATCCCCTCGGCGTCATCTAAGGTTGCACCCTGTGTTCTTTACAGTACCTCCGAATGGTCTGGTTGTTTACTGTGGAACAATTGTGACGGAAGAAGGAAAAGAGAAGAAAGTGAACATTGACTTTGAACCTTTCAAACCAATAAATACATCCTTGTATTTGTGCGATAATAAATTCCATACAGAGGTAAGAGGCATTCTTCATTTTTGTCCAGATTGTAGCTTTAGTAGTACATAATGAAGTTGCTCATTTAATCGATAGCTTACTGATTTTCTCACAGCTTCCATCACAGTTTAATCAGTTGTTAATGGCGTGTGCACACCATATACTATCGTTCATTGGTACTTGCATGCCAAGGGTCTCGACCCACATCATTAACCTGCAGTCCAAGAACTGGAGCTAACCCCACTTGTCATGCCTGGAAGTACCCTTCTGCTGATTTCCGGATCCGTCTGGTTTCTTAGATAATTCGTCTTGATTCCTTCTCACTGCTGCAGCTCTTTGTGTCTTGAGAGCATGAACAAGAATACCCAGATGGGGCTCCATGGATTTTCCTGGTGTAATGTGGCACTCGAAATTGGGATTCCAATATCAAGCCCATCGTTTTAGGCAGGACACATGATTTGAATTATATCATGCCTTTGAAGCTTGATCTTGAAAGACAAGACATTTTCCATGGAAATCTGTGATGAAATGTAATCCTTCGCACAAGTTGGCTCTGGCATTCGGGCAACCCAACTCTTGAGTTAATGCCCCCTGCCTGTGTGAGCAGCGTAATATGGAACCTGCAAGATTGTGATTTCCCTGCCATAAAAGAAATGAGGGTTATCCTTAAGAGTACGCATTTGAAACAGCTGTGGGTCCCGTGGGTCCCTTCCTTTGCATTCTGTTTTCCCACTTGCTGCTATCAGTCATCCTTTGAGCTCTCCCAGCCACCTGCCTCTGTTTTCCTTAGCTGCCCCTTGTCATTGGAATGCCCCCCTACTGACATCTGCTTCGTTCCATCCATCGCCCTCTTCAAGAAGTATTTAAAGACTCATTTCTCTGCTCAGGCTTTCCCCAATTTTCTGTTTTCACTCATTCCTTTTTTCTTTTCTTTTTTTGTATTTCACATCTCTCTGTTGGATTGTGAGCCCACAGGCAGTGATTGTCCTTTATATTAATTTCTGATGGTGTCTGGTTCTTCTATTCCAAAAAAAAAAAAAAAAAAGCAGCACTTTGTATTTTAAAGAAAATTTGATAAACCACCGACTAAAGTAATGTTTCTGCGTTTAAAAGTCTGCACCAACTGATCAAGATTTCTTGATTTTTAACAGCTTTTTCCAAAAACATTGACATTATTATTTGTAACTCCTAGGAATGAACATTCCCATTTTGATCAGGGAACAATTTGGATGCACTGGATCTTTTTTCTGGATGTCTGCAGGCTATCTGGTTTAACTGATGGTTTTGGGTTAGGGCAGCAGTAGCTAGGGCACATGGGGAATTGAACCTGCATCTCCAGATCCATGTGCAACACACCCAGTGCACCAGACTCACTGCATGCTGCATCACACCATTGTGCTTGCTCATGGTTCCTCACTGGTATTTCCCTTGTTTTTCTGACACATGGGGGTTTAGCAGGCTTGTTTGTAAGCAGTGTGCAGCCCCTTGTGATTCTGATCTTACATTACCATGGTTGACGAAGTAGTGGATGCTTAAAAGCCTGTAACTGCTTCAGTTGCCACAGACCTCTGACAGTGTTTCTGGTGTGACATCCCTAATTGAAGCCCCAGGCAGGCAAGAAGCATCTTGAGCTTTAATGGCGCATCTTTCTGCTACTCACCTTGCTTGCCCAAATGCAATTCATGCTCATTATAGGTCAGTTGCTTAATTGCAAGAATCATACAAGATGCAAAGCCTAGACTAATAAGATTTTCGTTGGGCACTACTTTATGGTTTGCCTCCCTCGCTGTTCTGGTCACTTCTGGTGCTTTCCTTTCTTTCTTCTTCACAGTAGTGTCTGGCTTTTTAAATTCAAGCTTGACTGAGCTTTGGGCGTAAAGCTTTCTGTCTCCTCCAGAGCTTGTCCTTTCACTTTTAATCAAGTCTGCTTTCCCCTTCTCTACTTTGTACATCATTATCTAAACCAGTGTGGCAGCAACTCTTGCTGACAAGCTTAAAGGGATGTTGCATGTAGAAAGCAAATCACCCGTTCGAATAGGGCAGCGATAATAGGCTTTAAATTAACTTAGCTCGTCCTTGCAGCGAGTCTGACATGAGACAATAATAGGTTCACCTGGTTTGACGTCAAAATGGATGCACATGTCCCTTCAACAGAAGTGAGCCAGTGCGGTGTAGTGGTTAGGGTGTCGAACTAATATCTGGGAAGCCCAAGTTTGAATCCCCACTCTGACATGGAAGCTCTCTGGATGACCTTGCTCCAGTTACAGCCTCGGCCTAACCCATCTCAGAGGGCTGGTGTGAGGATACAATGGAGAGAGGGGTAAATGGTTGAAGCCACTGGGTCCCCATTGGGGAGAAAGGTGGGGTGTGAATGAATTAAACACAATAAACAGAATTCTCCACCTTGCTGATTCCTGCTCGGTTCAGTGTACAGAGAATTCCTGTAAGCACTGTGCACCAGGGCTTCATTTCAACACCTCTGTTTGTGGTTTTTCCCCCCCCCTCCCCCCTTCTGTGCCGACTTGCAGGCCCTCACAGCACTACTGTCAGATGACAGCAAGTTTGGCTTTATTGTAATAGATGGTAGCGGTGCACTCTTTGGCACTCTTCAAGGAAACACCCGAGAAGTGCTGCATAAATTCACAGTGGATCTTCCAAAGAAGCACGGTAATGTATAAAATGGGACCCACGAGTGTTTTGAAGACGAGATGATGCTTATCAGAGTGTCTCTAGGGAGGAGAAGCTTTAATCAAAGGTGTCTTTTGAGTGGGTGGAGAAGATAAGGAACGCATTTGACTTCCATGGATCCTGTGAACTTTCACTGGAAGGCGCAGAGGGTAGATCTTTACTGCATGTCGCTTCTGGTGCTGATGGGGAACATTGCGCTCAAAAAATAGTGCCACATGGGGGGAACTGGAGTGAGGAGGAAGAGGGTAACACTGCTCCGCCCCCTCCTTCTCCCAACGAAAGACTTCTTGCACCAGAAATAAGGCTTCATAGGATCAAACCCATTCGTGAACCATTCTGTTAGAATCCGTAGCTTTGCAGTGAACAGGCCATTGTGGCAGCAAGATAAGTAAAAATTAGAGGCCAGACAATTCAGGGGACTTCATTTTCAGAATGCTTAACATTTCTATTGTATATTGGGCAGCAGTCCTCTTGTTACAGTTGATCCTTTAAGCTTGTCATGACGACATCATATGTAAAAGGTGTTGTCCTGGCCTGAAAACAGTAGTTTTAGTGAATATTTGTCCATTCCTGAAAGTCTTTGGCCACAATCCATCCCTAGCTTATGTATGGTTAGGCTGGCCCACTGAAATCTATGGGGGAACCACATTTAACTCCGCATTCGGCGACCAAAGTTTAATTATGAAGGATGCTTCCATTGCACCAATAAAGCGCTGTTCTAAGTTAGGTTGTAACAGAGATCCATTGGGGCCGAATTAACATAAGATGATGAATAAATAAGTTTAGCTTTGTGTCTTAAGCACTGTGAAGAAATGCATTTTTCCCTGGGAGGTTTGAATTTAGCCAAACCTCCACTTGGCTTTAACAGTTTTTTCCCGCCTCTCTGGGTGGGGTGGTGGTGGTGGTCTGTGCAATTGTTTTCCTGATGTACCTACACTCACCTTTATTCACATGCTGATAGATCTAGCAGGAGAGATAGTGGGTCAGTCAAATTCTCCCCCCTTTCTTCAAGCAGGGAACATAGATTTGGAGGACTTTAGGCGACCACAGCACCAGGAAGAAGCTCCAGGTTACTGGAGAGTGAGAAAAGCCTCTCCAGGGAGTTGGGAACCCCTCGGAAGGCAGAGTGGAATAGGTCCTGCAGGCCAGAGGTGGTGCATTCCACCACAAATACATTGATACTGATCCACAGAGTGTGGTCAGACTAATTGCAGATAAATCTTAAATTGTGAATCTGCTTTGAAATGGCTGCCTATGGGTAGTAACATGGGGATCTCTTTTCTGTGTACTTGGTTATGGGCTGACAAATATGTATCTGCTCCAGGCACCTGAAGGGAAAAGAGTGATAATTGAGGATGAAACCTCATTTTTGCTAAAAGAAACATTTCAGTTTTGCTGCATTTTAACCTCTGCTCTCTCTCTCTCCCCAAGGAAGAGGAGGTCAGTCTGCCTTGCGTTTTGCTCGCTTGAGGATGGAGAAACGGCACAACTATGTAAGGAAAGTAGCGGAGACGGCTGTGCAGCTGTTCATTTCTGGCGACAAAGTGAATGTGGCTGGCCTCGTGTTAGCTGGATCGGCTGACTTTAAAACTGAGCTGAGCCAGTCAGACATGTTTGATCAGGTAAACAGAAACGTCCTTTGTCAAGCCGCGTTCGGTCGTGTTGACAACTTGTGTGCCTGATTCCTTTGCATGCTTCAGTGCAGGTAGTCAGGGGTTAGACTTTACAAGAACAATAGTTCACGGTGTGGGGTAGAGAACGAAATGTGCAGACGTTGACCGTTGGAAACAATGGGGAAATGTCCTCTGGGTTCCAGGTGTTCATCAAATACAGCTCATGTTTGTATTTATACAAGCATTGAAGGCTTAAATGTTTTGAGGTGGATCCAGACTGTTTTCTGCTTATAACAAGGCATTTCTGTCAGTGGGACCGAATATCCTTGGCCGCCTTGCACTGCAGCCTGCTGTTTCCCCCAAGATGCTGCTCTTGAGGGACAGGAGACCCTCAGGGAATAGCATGAGAGGCAAACTTTGGGGGGGGGGGGTAATGATCCCACCCCTTCCATTAGCTAGAATCTCTCTATACAATAATTCTGTTTTGGTCATGGACTCCTGAACATTCCGCACGCTCCCAAATCAGTTGAATCCCTGACCTGTTAGTCAGAAGCTGTCCCTATCCACTGGCTGTGTTGCCTGAGTCTCACCTCCAATATTCTAAACAGTTTGCTGTTCCTCTCCCCCCAATAGCCAGTCAAAACACAAAGGTCATTTGCATATGTGTCCTGATTGGCCTTTGCCTCTAACGTTCTAAACAGTTTGTTGTTGCTGTTGGGAGGCATTGAATGTGTCCTGAGGCAAAATACATATCCCAATCTTCCCTTAAATGATCACTGGAGTTGCCAATCTCCCTGTGGGGCCTGGAGATCTCCCAGAAATCACCATGTTCCCCAGCCACAGCACATCATTTCCCAGCTATTACAGAAAAATTCCCAGCTATTCCTAGCTATGGCTGCTTTGGGCAGTGGTCTCTATGGCATTATACCCTGCTGAAGTCCCTCTGCACCCCAAACCCTGCCCTCCCCAGGCTCTACCCCTCAAATCTACAGGTCTGGCCCTCCCCTTAGTATTGCCAGCCTCCAGGCAGCACCTGGAGATCTACAGGTCTTGCCCTCCCCTTAGTATTGCCAGCCTCCAGGCAGCACCTGGAGATCTCCAAGATCAGTTCTCCTGGAGAGAATGGCTGCTTTGGGCAATGGACTCTATAGAATTATACCCTGCTGAGATCCCTCCACACCCCAAACCCTGCCCTCTCCAGGCTCTACCCCTGAAATCTACATGTCTAGCCCTCCCTTAATATTGCCAGCCTCCAGGCAGCACCTGGAGATCTCCAAGATCAGTTCTCCTGGAGAGAATGGCTGCTTTGGGCAATGGACTCTATAGAATTATACCCTGCTGAGGTCCCTCCACACCCCAAACCCTGCCCTCTCCAGGCTCTACCCCTCAAATCTACATGTCTAGCCCTCCCTTAATATTGCCAGCCTCCAGGCAGCACCTGGAGATCTCCAAGATCAGTTCTCCTGGAGAGAATGGCTGCTTTGGACAATGGACTTTATGGCATTATACTCTGCTGAGGTCCCTCCGCACCCCAGACCCTGCCCTCCCCAGGCTCTACCCCTTAAATCTACAGGTCTGACCCTCCCCTTAGTGTTGCCAGGCTCTAGGCAGCACCTGGAGATCTCCAAGATCAGTTCTCCTGGAGAGAATGGCTGCTTTGGACAATGGGCTTTATGGCATTATACCCTGCTGAGGTCCCTCCACACCCCAAATCCCGCCCTCCCCAGGCTCTACCCTTCAAATCTACAAGTATTTCCCAACTCAGAGTCGGCAACCCTGTAACTGGCTGTGGAACCGCTTTCCAGACCCTTGGAACCCAGAAGACATGGCATAGGAGGAGGTGCTTTTCTACCTTAGCTGCCACTGCATAACCCCAAATCAACATAAGTCGGGTGGAGGGAACCATACCTGTTACCATGAGGCTGTCCTCCCATACTACCCACTTGGGGCAGCAAAATGACTTGAGACAGCCCTGCCTTATAGCTAAGCAGAAGGAAATAAACATGGCTTGCCTCCCTCTATTTTCCCCTTCCCTCTGCCGCCCCACCAGCCACAGCCGGGACCCTCACCTGGAGCTTCCTTCTAGAGTTCGTTGTATTTCTTCCCACAATGAGCCTTACTCCTAGTTTAGAAAGAATGGCTTGGATCTTACACCTCCCACCCACACAGCCATCCTCGATGGTATAGAATGTTCTCCTGATGCAAGTCCAGGCTCCTGCATGAGCAGAAAGCGCCTAGGGAAGCATTGCGCAGTGTAGGACAGAGTTGCGTAAAAAGGATCTGAGCCCTTAACATTTTTCAGGTGAAAAACCAGGTATCTTAGTAATACAACATCTGTTGAATTTATGAAATGCCCGTATTTGAGTCTGGAGGTTCTTGTTTAGTCAATGATGAAACATTCTTCATTTTTTAGAGTAGTGCTTCTAACATTGGATCTTGCATCTCTTTTTTTGTAGCGATTGCAGTCCAAAGTACTAAAGCTAGTTGACATCTCATATGGTGGCGAAAATGGGTTCAATCAAGCCATTGAATTGTCCACTGAGGTTCTGTCTAATGTGAAATTCATTCAAGAAAAGAAACTAATAGGTATGAATAAATACATTACCCATCTGACCTTTCCTTGCAGCATAAACAGACCCCAGATTATTATGTAGGAGTAGTTTATTTTTAAGGCACAGGAGTCTTTCTTCAGCTGTAGAGTAGTGGGAAATAGTACTAGCAAGGTTGTGGTGTACTTACTATTGATCAGATCCTTACAGATAAACATATAGTGTTGCCTAATGTGTTGATTAGGGCCTTGCTTTTATGAGCTGGGCATGACTCAGTGCTGCAATAGAGAGAGGCCCTTTTGAAAGTCATGCGTGTGAAACTTGTTGCTGAAATCAGATGCCTGAGCGGT